GCGCTTCAATGGGCCAGTGCAGTGTCTGTCTTGCGGAAGGTTGCAGTTGAGAAAGACTTGAATATCACGGTATCCGTCCTCCCTGGCGACCTTGAACGCCCTGTACGTGCACCCGTCGCTTCGGTATTCATGCAAGAGCCGCACCATGGTCAAGCTACGGTTCATGGCCGCAGCATCCATCGCGGCTTTTGAGCTTTTGCCAAAGTCCCGTCACAGCATTTGCTTCAGCAGCGGCACGCTGTGTGCATGCACGGCATTGTCGATCGCGTAGACATACATGTCGTTGGTGGGCGGCAGCGCGAGCATATTGCGCTCCGGAAACGCAGCCAGTAGCTCGAGGGCCAACTTGACGTCCTTGGCAGCAACAAGCTGGCATAAGACATAACCGCGGATGGTCTCCACAGTATATCGCGCGAGCCGGCGCCCGAGCTTCGCCTTGTGATGCTGAAACGCAAGGGCAAGTGGCGTCGAGAGACCGGGTTGTTGATATGCAAAGATGTCGGCCACGAGTATGGGCTGTGTGAGAACAGCGTAGGCCGCGCCGTCACGTGAGGCCTTGGACGAGGTCGACATGGAGTAAATTTGACTTCGGTGTTTACATTGCGTCGACGCTCATGTCCACAGCATCACTACTACAATGCATGTACCTACACCTATGTGTCACACGGTTTACATTTGTGTACAATTCTACTGTTCTTTTGCTGATGTTGGAACAGGGCTCGGGGAATCGGCTCGGGGCGGCCAACTGCTGTCGTGCAACATGATCAGCTCGCCGTGTTGCTGCACACGAGCGCAAACTGCATTGTTGACGAACAACGATTGCTCCCGAGGTTGCACCTCTGGAGTTTCTTGGTCGTCCGGATATTAAGAGTATCCGGATTCTAAAAATAGACCTCTCTGTCCGGACAAAGCAGTTGACAAACTGCCACGCATGAGCGGGAAGGTCGAAGCCGTGACGCAGCCGCCGCTGCCGCCCGAGATCGAAGGGTACCTCTACAAGATGAAGCGGCAAACATATCCTTTCTGCCACATCTACCTTCTTTCTATGAGAGGATATCTCGAGTGGTCCTTGACACCCCACGTGTACAGGCCTGAGCAACCTCACGGGCAGCTGGAACCGGCGCTGGTTCTACATCGACAAGAGACACAAGGCGTTTGGCTACGCGATCAACAACGCGCAGCCGCGCATGAAGAGTACGTACGTCCATGGACCTATCCTAGCGAAAGCGATTTGCGTAGATGCGATCTTTCTCAATGACATTACGGCGGTCGTTGTCTTTGACGAATACTGCTTCCAGGTCGAGGCCAAGAGCCGCAAGTTCTTCCTCAAAGCAGAGAGCAAGACGAGCGCAGCGTGCTGGGTCAAGACGCTCGACGCATACCGCACGCAGCAGCTCCTATACGAGAAGCACTTGGCGTCGACGCCAATTGTGGCGCCGGCCAAGACAATGCACCCAGGCCCCGAAGAGGCATCGCCGCCCCGTGAGGCCAAGCGCACAAACCAGCGCAGAAGTAGCAGTAGCAGCAAGCGCCGCGCCGAGGCCAAGCGAAGGAGCTACGACGACGATGGCGACGTCGAGTCGACGCCAGTGCAGGCGTGGAGCATGACATCCGACGACTCGGACGACGACAAGTAAGACATCAATGCTGTCTAAACTATGGATACATCAATGCATGTCTCCTTGCATCAAGCGCTCAGAAGAGCTTCTTGTCAGAGCATGGAAATGGGGTCTTCGTACAGCTCGATTATATATATATGAACGTGTTTCGCGTTATCTTCATAATTACACAAAGACTTCGCATACGTAGAGACTAGCAATCTCCTTCTTCTTCATTCGCTCGCCGGTCCGTGGCTGCGCAGGCGGCGGCGCGGGTGGGTACAGCTCGATTATACATTGGCAAAGTTGGCACCACGGAAACTCGCGCATTGAGAGCCCTTTTTGCTTTTTCAAGTCGTCAGCAAACCTACTGACGATTTCAAACGCTCATTTTCTTGCAATCCAGTTGGACGTGTATGACGTATATAGAGCTATGGTACGCATCGCTAGCAACAAGGTTTGATCTCGTCTGGTCGTGCAACGAATTTACTAAGTCACTGCGCACATTAGATCTTCGTAATTCTCTAGTCGTCATGGTTTGGCTTTGTCACCGCTGTCCTTGCGCGCTGGATGTTGTACTTTTGCTGCAGAAAGCGCTTGGCCATCGTGTGCACAAACCAGTCGCGGTCTGCACGCGAGAGACTGCCGCAGTCGGCCGACCGCTTCCGCAGCGTCGGGTACTCGTACAGAAACCACGAGCAAAACTCGAGGACGCTCACGTCACCCGACTTGTCGTTGTCGATCATGCTCACCACGTCGTCGAGCTCGTCGTCAACGAGCGGAATGCGAAGCTTGGCAATCACCACTTTGGTGTCGTCCCTACTCCACGACTTCAGCACCGTTTTCAGAGAGCAAAACGAAAAGCTACCGCGAGATAGACCCGACGCCAATCGGGTCGAAAAAATCAAAGAGGTCTTGGACCTCCTCTTGCAGCCGAGCCTCGAGCGGTAGCTCGCTTCGCGCCTTGACGCGGGCTTTCATGCGCGCACTGAGGCCACGCTCCTCCTTTGTGAGCATCGCCTTGCCGTGTCGACTCGCGAGGAAGGCGTCAAAGGACTCGGTCGTCGAGATGTCTCCCCACGCACTCACGTCGTCGGTCGTCGCCGTCTCCGAGTCGACGGTGGCGTATCGCGCTTGGAGTGCGTGCACGTGGTCCAAGAGGTGCTTGGTTGAAAGCGCAGTGGTTTTTTTCGGCCCCTGGAGCCGCCGCCACCACGTTTGCAGGCGACTGGCGGCTTGGTTACTGCGCAAACGCAGCACCTTTTGCCGTGCGAGGTACATGCGACCGACGCTTTGGAGGCAAATGGCCGCGTCGCGCCGGCGCCTCCGCCGCGCCAGCTCTCGGCCCGCAAAGATGCAGCGGACGCGGCACTGTAGAACAATGGCCGCCGCACTCAGGTGCGCGCGCTTGGCCTTTGCGTCGTCGGCGTCGCGCTTGAGAAACCGCGCGACGGCAATGAGCAAGAGAAGATACCGCAGAAGCGTATTCAATGGCGGCGACAGTTGCGGCAACAGCTGCAGGAGCGAAAACGATGTGAGAAAGGTTCGGCACTTGAACGCACTGGTCCACACGCGGCTTTTCAACTTGGGATCGAACGGGTCGCTCTCAAAGAGAAACGTGGCGGCTTTCTTGGAGAGGAAAAGCTCCAGCGCCACCTACAACATCACATAAGCAATGACAAAGCTCGATGAAATGACGAGGATCGAACCCGGGGCGTCGTAATGACATCGCGCTTGACGCCGCAAGCGACGAGCGCAGCGGTAAACACAGTACCAATTGCTTCCGGGCACGGCGTCGGAGGCACGGCGACGAGCGCATCGAGGTGCACTCGAGCTTCGTGCTCAATGCCCAGTCGCGTGGCGCCATACGTCGTCCGCGATGCTTGAAACCACATGTCGAGGAGGTACCCGACAGTGCGTTCGTTGCCCGCGGGCTTTTCGCGGAACCGAAGCGCAGTCGCCGACGCCGTCTCGATCCAGTCGACCATCGTCGTTCGCGCGACTGACGAGGCGTTGTCCAAGATACCGGGGACCACAAACACGTCGAGCAGAAGGAATTCATGATGCGGCAGTCGCAACAGCACTTCGTGGTGCACGGCACTGGGCGGCGTCTCGGTAACGGCGGCGACAGCTGCGGGTGTTGGCGCCAACGTTGGTTTTGACTTTGGGCGAAAGCGCGTCGTGAGCTTGGAGGCCTTTGCTGGTGGCACAGTAGCTTCTGGTGGTGGCACCGTTGTCGTCGTCGTTGGAGCCGGCGTTGCAACGGCAACGACCGCCGGTAGAATCGTTGCGACTGCCACAGGCACGTCGGTAGCAGCAAACGCGATGAGGCGTGTGGTTTGCTTCTTGGCCTTTTTTAGCGGCCCCAGTGGGTACTTAGTTTCGTTGGTCGACATGGCGAGAATAGGCAGCGGCGAGCCGCGGGCCACAAACCCGTCTCTGGCCTGGAGCATCTCTCTTGCGAAGAAGAGCATTTCGATCGAGAGGCTCTCGAGCACGAGAGCGGTAAAGGCGGCGACGTATGCGTCTTGCGCCGTCGTCAGAAGCCGACGAAGCGACGCAGTGTCTCTCTCGGTAAAGCTGCGTCCGGCTTTGCGATAGAGCACGAACGCGATCCGGGGTGCGACCATCTTACCGTCCATCATAGCAGCAAACGTAGGGTAGTTGCCGCGAACCTCGAGCCCGGTGGCGGCCAAGATTGGATCCGGCGCCGTCGAGCGTGCGTCGTCGAGCGTGCGCGGGCAGTTGGTCATGGGCAACCGAATGCAGTCGTAGTGGATGAGGTCTCGAACATAGTGTTTTCGGCAGCGCTGCTCGTAGCAGTAGTGGCGCGGTGCCTTCACCGGCCGTCGGTTGCGATACTTGAGCCAACAGAGCACCTCGAGGTCGCCGGTAAAGTCGGGTGCGAGGCCCAACACGTGGCCGCTATGCACATGCGTCACGTCGCGATAGGCGGCGGCGAGCGTCTCGGCGTAGAGCGCTTGCAGGTCCGACCCGACGCTCACAATGCGGTCGCGGCTGTAGCGCTGGTGCGTGTCTTCGTACAGCGCCACGAGCCGCTGCGATGCGTCCCGAAGAAACGACAAGACGTCTTTTTCCAGCTCGTTCTTGGTCGTAAAGCAGTGAACGCCAAAGCTATCGACGGCGAGGACACCGAGTGTGCTCAGCGGCACGACAACATACGCGCGTGTCGCCCGACGACTGGTGCAGAAGTGCACGGTTTTGCCGGTTTGTGCGCTCAGATGGTTGATCACAATCGGTTCTTGGGTGCGAAGGCACTGGAAGCTCAGGAGGTCTTCCGTGTCCAAGACCACATTGCGCATGAGACTCTCGCGCGACGCACTGCGAAAGACGAGCCCATCGACGTCTCTCGTGGCAAACTCGGTGAAGCGCGGCTCCAAGTACGCGAGGTAGACGTCGGTGCCAGCGCCGAGCGCGTCAGCGATTGCATTTAAGCAGGTATCTTGGGTTGCGTGCAAATTAGTGTACGCATCGTGACTCGGCAGCGTCAGTGTGTCGTCTCGAATGGCGTCGAGACGGACAAGTGCCTTTTGGCGGGCGACGTTCGCGGCGGCGCGGTGACTCGCGAGTGTCAAGGCGTTGTCGATGAGCGGCTGCAACCGCTTCAGCACATCGAGATCGTATGGCCAGTCGACGCCGGGTAGCCGCGTTACCTTGAGCACGCTTTTGACGACTTGGGGGCCGACGACGTACGGGTCGTGCATGGCAAGTGGCAGAAGCAGCGCGTTCGTCTCGGGAATCGACTCGGGTGAGACGACCGCGCGCATCTGGACGACGTCGTCCGGTCGCAAGCTTGGCGACGTCGCGTGGATATGACTAGACGCAGTAAACTGCGGCAGCGGCGGGTGGTCGCCCTCAAAAATGTACCAGACGTCGATGCGAATGGCCGACGGGATATTACGCGCCAGCTCGCCGCTGATGGTCGAAAAGAGCGTTTGAAAGCTCGAAATGTTGCCGAGAAAGACCGACGAGAGCACGCGCTGGCTCTCTTGGAGCCGCTTGGCGCGCAAGAGCGACCCGAGGTGCGCGCCAATGGTCTGGAGGCAGGACACGGTGCCGGCCTCGGGGATCGTCGCCGTGTACGGACCGCCCGCCGCCCCCGTAAAGGACGTCACCGCGAGCACACCGAGAAGTGGGATCGGGACGGCGACGAACGCACCTTTCTGGTCGCTTACGATACGAGCGATCTCGGCGTCGTCTTCGACGCGGGCGACGACAACGGGCGACTGGTGCTGGAACGCAGCAAAGAGGGGCGATGACGCGTCGATTGTATCGACCAATGGACTCTCGGACGCCTTGGTGACACGCATCTCGTTGCTAAATGGCATAGCCATGGCGACGAACCCCTTGGTGCCGGTAAAGGCTGCTTGGACGAGCGCAAGGCATGCAGCTTGGGCATCGTGCTCGGTCGGTCGGGCATTGTCGCTGAGCACAAGCGCGCTTTGCACACCACGTTCGCGAAGCTGAGCGCGGTACGCTGCGGTTTGCGTTCGGGTAGCCTCCAAACCGGTCGCCAGCATCTGTCCAAACCGCACGAGAAAGTCTTCGACGCCCATTTCAGGCTGAGGTTCGCGCGGTCCGTACGCGCTGAGGTCGTCGAGCGCGAGGACACCAAAGGTGCCGATCGGCACGGCCATGTATGGCAAGACGAGTGCTTCGGGTCGGCCAAAATGCCGGACGACGTGGAGTTGCGACACTTGCGTGAGCACAACCGGCGACTGCGACGCAATCACCTCGAAGCCCACGCCACCTTTCTTACCGCGCACGAGCTGCTTTCCAAGCATGTGGCTAGTAGACGATGCTGCCGTAAACACAATGCGGTGGAACGCGGGCTGCCGCAGTCCAACGTACGCGTGGCACCCCGTCAGCGTTGACTGCAACAGCGAGAGCGTCTTGTGCTGCAGATCCAAACGTACCTCGGCGCTCTGTTCGGCATATGGCGAATTCAGCGGCAGCGCAATCGTTTTGTGCGCGGCGACAAAGGCGTCGAGCGCATCGAGGCTCGCAGCACGGGCGCGCACTCGGTCGTAGCGCCCGGCAAGGCATTCGATGCCGCCCGAGAGCGTGCGAGCGACGGTCTCGAGAAAGGCTGGCTCGGCGGCAAAGCAATAGGGCGACGGAAGCGCCGCTGTGAGTGCGACAACGTGGGTGGACGTACACAGCGCCGGTACGAGTGTCGAGAGATACTTTTGGTTGCCGAAAATCACTTGGTTGGCCGACTCCAGCGTCTTTCGCAGATTCTTGGTCCACTCGATCGGCACCGGTGGCTCGGCCAGCGTCTCGACGTACTGGACGTCCGCGCTACAAAGCGATTTGCTCAAGAGACTCGGTGTCGACGTCACGCGCGTCACGACCGCGTCCAACGTTGCGTTGTCGAGCTTGTGGTACGTCTGGAACGTGGGCCATCGAAGCTCGCGCAGTCGGCCACGGGCACCTTCGACGTACGTCAGGTCAAGTACCGGCCAGTGCGCGACGTCGTTGGTGTCGGCGACGACAGTGGGCTTGCCGTCGCTCTTGCGGATAACGAGAAGCCGGGCTTTGAGGACACCGAGAAGCGACGACTGAAGGCACTGCAGCGCCGACGCAAAAACCTGCGCGGGCGCCGCAAACGCGTCGGCGTCGACAATGTTGGCGAGCGCAAACAGGCGCGCGGCGCGGCGCTTGAGCCGGAGTGCGGCGGCCATGCCACGCGCAGCCACTTCCAGCATCGGTATCACGCCATATTCGGGGTGGGTCTCGTCGCTTCTGCCTTTCTCGACCGAGCGAAAATCAAAGACAACGAGCACGCCCACGAGCGCGTCGTCGTGAAGCAGTGGCAAGAGCACGACGGGCAGCATCGTTTCGTCTGGCAGAAAGCTGAGCCGCGAGGCTGAGCGCAAAACCACGGGCGCCTTGGCGCTCAAGCAGTCGGCAATCCCCGCAGCATGCACGTCCACCTCGAGACCGATGAGCCGGGCGCACCCGTGGTACGCAAACGTACAGCGCAGCGACTTGGCCGAGGGCGTTAACTCCCAAATTGCACTTTGCGTGCCAGGAAGGCAGAGCTGGACCTCGTTGACCATGCGACTGAGGAGCTCGTCTAGGGAGCGGAGAGCGTCCGGGGACGGTGTCATTGCGAGCGCGGCCGTCCACTGCCGCAGACGCGCGACCGCCTCGGTTCGTTGCAGATGGCGCTTCTGCCGCCCGCGCACGCAGCGCAGCGTTGTGTCCAGCTCGGGTAGAAGCTGCGAGAGGTAGCTCACTGCGTCCGAGATGTCGGCGGCTTCGTGGAGCGTTGTCACGATGACATACTTGAACTTGGGCTCGTCCGCAAAGGGCTGCACCCAGACTTTGGTCGATTGGGCTGGAAACGGCACGAGAAAATCACCGCTGTTGACGTCCATGCCAGCGAGGACGCCTTGAAGATGAAAGTGCTGCGTGTTGAGCAAGCGCACTGGCAGCAGTCGGCTCATCGTGTGCCAATTCACGTCTTCGACTACGTGGTTGCTCCACGAGACCGTGTACGTCGTGGCTTCTTTTGGTCCAAGCGCCGGTACCACGTGCACGACGTTGCCCCGCAGCAGGGACGTTGACGTTTCTGTGAAGAGCGGGACGCGCTTGATGGCCTTCTCGCTGCAGTGCACGAACGGCGCCAAGCGGTCCGACGGCACATCGCACGCGCCAAGGAGCACCACATTCGACTTGAGAAGCTCCATGGGCGACAACAAGACGCGCCAGATCGCAACGCCTGTGACGTTGAGGACGCAGTGGAGCAGCGCTTGGATCACAAGGTAGTACAGGTCGTACTGCGTGCACGTGCCGTCTTTGGTCGCATCGCAAAGGCGCGCATGCCACTCCCGCCGGCGCGCGGTCGCGAAAAGCGGGCCGGCAATATCGGCGACGCGCGTGAGAAACTGCATCGTCTCGGGCGCGTCGACAAAGCGCGTCGGCGTCTCCGGAAGGTGCAGCGGAAGGCCCGCGTTGAGCCCCTCGATGAGCGACAGCAGCTTGGTCCGAGTGTGCACGCGGTAAATACCCAGCGTGAACTCGAGGTTGAGGTCTTTGAGCGCCAAGAGCGACGGACCGTCAATCTTGTGCTTTTGAAACGATGGCACAACATCGTCGAGGCCATACGCCCGCAGAAAAGCAAGGACGTCGTGCAACGTCATGGCACCTGGGTGACTCTGCCACGCACCCCGCGTCGCGTCGACGGCAAGGACGCCGATGGGGCTGCGACTGCCGCGGAGTCGACCTGGGAGTGGGAGCGCTGCAAAGGGGCCGCATCGGTGCGGGCCAAAGCTTTCGATCGCGTCGTCGGTCGCGATATCATCGCACACCACAATGTTCTAGATAGACATAAGATCGCATTGCGAATAAAGTGAGTACGTCATCGTCGATAGCGCGAAACGAAATGCCCTTGCCGCTCGGAAGGCTCTTGGCGAGCATACCGCTCAAAGGCGATGCGGCCGTGTACACGAGCGCCGCCCGCTTGGGCTGGAGCAGGCCAAGGTACACGTCGCAGAGGCCTTTCAAGCACGTATCGACAAGATTTATCACTTGTCGCTGCAGCTGGACGACGGTCCACGAAGCCCCGCCTTGCTCGAGCAAGAGGAGCTTGGCGAGCGCGCGCTCGTAGCTCACCTGCGTGCAGATGAAGTCTTCGACCTCGGACGGGTACAAGTGGGCGTGTAATTCGGGGGTCGCGTGCTGCAAAAGGCGCGCCGTGCGAGCGTACCGTGCAAGCGTAATGGCCCGTGGGTCCGACGACACGAGTGCGTCGGCTTGATTCGAGCTCCGCGCGCGCTTGAAGTGGCGGCGCAGCGGCTGCGGGATAAAGGTGTAGCCATCGAGCGCCCGGCGTTCCTCTTCTGCGCGCTTGACCGCAGCGTCGCGCGCCTCGGCCTCGGCGAAGACCGTCGCGTCTTTCCCCATCGCAAGATCTTCCAATCGGACGCGACGTTTCGTATCTGCGACATCTCGTTCGGTTCATGACGTGGCACACGGACACGTCGAGAACGATTCCGCGGAAATCATTTGTTTGTACGTTTTACCGAAACCGAGGTTTCATACAGATATTGAATCCTGATCGAATAGTCGACCTTTTGGAGTATATGGTGTCTCAGGACATGGTTGGGGCCGTCTTCACGTCGACTTTGCAGAGCCGAACGCAGCCGAGGATCTGCTCGGGCAGCTCGTCGTCCTCCTGACCCTCGAGAACAAAGCCAAAGTCGACCACCATGTTGCCAAAGTGGTCGGTCACGCCGCAGAGCCCCTTGCGCGCCACGTAGTTGAACAAGTGCGCGTCAATGTCGACTTCAAAGTACCCGTCACCACGGTAAAACCGGTGCTGTGGCCGCGTCAAGATGGGCTGCCCATTGTACGTCTCGAGCAAGTGCCGCTCCTAGACGTACGCCATCAATATGCTTCCGGATAATGGGACCACGCACGGTTCGACCGAGCGCTTGCTCGGCCGGGTTGACGACGATCCCGATTGCCTTGAGGCGGTCGCGCTACAAACGCAGAGGCTGACTGGGAGGGATGTCTTGCATCTCGTACGATGATTGGGTCGTTGCCATCGTCCAGAAACGCGCGCAAGAGCTATTGCCCATGAGGTTGAACATCATGGCTGTCGTTGCAAGTACGTACGCGAATGGCGGGCTCATTGCACGCCGGTTCCATTTGCAGCTTGTCTCGAACCGCCTCGGGAATGGCATAATACGTAACAAAGTTGAAGCCATCGCCGTCGCCTTGCTTTTCTCCCCACTAGAAACACGGTCGAGTGTTGTTTGGATGACAAAGGGACAGTCATACCAACGGGTTGGACGGAGCGTAGCAAGGCACTTGGCAATTGATGATGAGCAGATCGCGCCTGCAACTACAGCGTAAGTAGTGAGCGCATGGGCGTTGCGCGTACGTGGACGCCGTCGGGCGCATGGGAAGCTGCACAACGTTGCCAATGTTGTCGATCTTTGTGTCCGACTAGGTATCCGTCAAGAATGCATTCCGCAAGGAGTGCGGTCGTACGCGGTACACATCTGTTGCTACAAGCTCCAAGAGCGCGGGGGCCGACGGGCCCTTGCGTTTTGTTTTCCGGTACTGGGGACCTACGACGAGCATCGCGTCCAAGGTGGCGCAAAGATGCAGTACGCACCGAGGCGGAGGTTGAAGCGCGTCGCTTCCAAGGTGGCCCACGACCCCGGCACGCATTCGTCGACCGCGCACTGCGGCAACGAGCAGCCAGCATTCGCCTTGTTGCCTACGGCCCTTGAAGATACCATCGCTTCGAAACTACCTACCATTGATGGTGCCCAAGATCGGGGCCTTGGGCACAGGCTCGTGGGGTGGCACCGGTGCTGGACAAGATGCATATTCGCTCAGCGGTTGCTTCTGGCTCAGAGACGTCGCTCCGGTGCGCGTTTGGTAAAACCAATAGACGCACGCAGCGTTGAGTAGCCCGAGGACGCCCAGAAGCGTCGCGCCATTGCCGTACCGAATCAGCGCTACGGCACGACTTGAGAGCGCGCCGACGGGACACTGTACCGATGAGGAGGTTGGCGCTGGCGAGCGTGCCGAGACTGATCGGTGGCAACGCAAACGCGTCCCAGGAAGGCACGGCCTCGACGTAGTTGTCAAGCGTCTAACCGCAGCGATATTGGATACGTAGCCAAAGACAAGGCGACGTACGGTGGGGCGGGGCGGTGGCGCGCTGACAGCGACGTCCAGTGACGCGCTCTCTTGACCAATCGTGGCGGAGATGGCGTTGGTCCACTCGCGAAAATCGTCGTCCGACTCGGCGCACACGAGAAGTGACTTGACGCCGACCGAGATGTTGAAGCAGAACGGCGTGGGCGTGCCCGGGGGGAGGTCCCCCTGGATCGTCAAGAGGGCCCCGGTCCCGTGCAATTGCAGCGCGCCGTGGGCATATGCGCGGTCACGGTACTTGTAGTACGAGAGCACGCCGTTCTCAAGCACGAACCAGCGCTGGTGCCACCGCCGACGCATCCACTTGCCCGTGTTGTGCTTGGTGAGGTACCCCGCCTTGGTCGGTCCATGCAAAAGCTCTGGCGCTGGCGGGACCTCGAGCTGCGACCGACTCTCGCGGAGCAGCGGCGCCGAGGTGTAGCGAGCGGCCGTGCTCATGTGCTTGTCTGACCTTGCCGTCCCGCGGCGCGGGGGCTTGACTCTGGACATGGACTCGGCACTCAACGCCTCGAAACCAAAGTTCAGTAGGGGTTTCATGACAGCGGCGACGGACGTTATCAAATCCAACATCTGCTGCCGGCTGCCCGTTGACGAGATTCTGTGTCTATTGCTATGGGCAGTATTTGAGCAATTTGGGGTCCTATACCAGCGCATAAATTTGCACACACGGAGACGCGAGAAGTTCGTACAATCGGTGTACGCGGGGCTTCCGTAGGCATGCCACAATCCTTTCCATCGCTAACAGGAGAGCTCCACTCGAATCGCGCTGTCTCGAGGTGGCATGCAACTCTACAAGACATTTCGACGTGGGCGTCCGACGCAGAAGACATTTTGTGATCCATGAGCGAATTTAGCGTACCAAGCGCGCGTAGAAGCGATTTTCGAGTTGTCCGAGTGGTATTGACATTTGTGAATACAAATAACGTCATGTTGATCCACCGATAAGCTGTCCAAGGTATCGACAACCGAGGGTCGCGTCTCGACGGAATCTTGCTTTTTCCGGATATCCGGATACCGTGCCAAAGCTTGTTCGCGAAAAGATATCGGGGCTGTGGCCGGCAGGCAGTAGGACGACGACGACGATGGCAGCGCACCAGGACTTTGTCGGTGCGATCATGGCCGTCGTAGCCTCCGTGATCTCTAACCTCGGCGTGAACGTGCAGAAGTACTCACATGCGACCGAGGCCCTGCGGCCAGAGGCGAGCCAGCGCGCGTACATCCACCGGCCGGTCTGGTGGCTCGGGCTGCTCATGGTCATCGCGGGCAGCATCGGTGATTTTACGGCCTTTGTCTTTGCAACGCAGGCGCTCGTCGCGGCGCTTGGCGGCGGCTCGACCCTCATCGCGAACGTCATCATTGCGCACTACATGAACAAGGAGACACTCTACAAGACCGACATCATTGGCGTCATTTGGGTGATCATTGGTGTCGTGCTCATCGCCGTCATCTCGGACGAAGACAAGACGTATCCGCTCGACGAACTTGAGAAGCTCTTTACACGCAAAGGTATGATGGGTCCGACGACGACGTAGGCGACGCATATACCATAGGTTTCGTCGTATACATTACGTGCGTCGTCATCTCGGTCGTGTGCATGCTGGCCAAGATCAAGGGCTCACTCGCCCACACGCTCAAGAACCAGATTCGCTGGTCGCACCAGCGCCAGAAGCAGATCCTCAAGGTATATCGTTGCCCAACGATTTTGCATCGATGCGTTTTCTCTAGAACAACGAAGCGCGCTTCCAGGACTTGGAGCGGCGTATGGAAGCGCTCGAAGAACAGCTCCTCGCCGACTACGAGCGCCACGGCCCGCCCGACTCGGGCCACGTCTCGTCGCTGCACCAGCATTTACGCACTCAGCGGCAAGCCCGCGAGCCCTACACGATCTACGACCCGACGCCGGGCTCGACCGCGGACCCGCGCGTGCCATTCTACTACGCCATCTGCTCGGGCATCGTCGGCGCCATCTCGGTGCTGCTCGCAAAGTGCTCGGCCATCATGCTCTCGCTGACGTTCCAAGGCGACAACCAGTTCAAGTACCCGCTCACGTACGTCTTCATTGGCGGCATGGTGCTCTGCATCCTCGTGCAAACGCATTTGCTCAACATGGCCACGTCGCTCGGCGACACGATGACAGTCTTCCCGGTCTTCCAAGCCTTTTGGATTTCGTTTAGCGTCATTGGCGGTATCGTATTTTACGGTACCGCACAGACCTTTACGACCGAAAAGTGGGTACTGTACCCAACGGCACTGCTCTGCATCTCGGTTGGCGTCTACTACCTCGTACAGCACCCGTCCAAGCCCGTGCCGCTGCCGTCGCCGCCGCCTCAGAAGCGCGCGAGTCTCCAGTTCCAGCTGAGCGAAGTGCCGTTAACCAACGCCGCCGACGTCGACGCGTGCTTGACGACGTCGCCGCTTTTGCCGCGGGACGACGCCAACGACGGCTACGTGCGCCTCGAAAACGAATAACATTAATTGATGTTTTGTATCTTGGGCCGTGAAATCGTGTCGACAGTGGTTGCAACCACGCAGGCTGGAAGGTCTCGAGCTGCACCTACGTTATCAACGGGGTGCATAGACAAGGGGCACTTGTCATGACGGCGGAGAGTAGGACAGTATCCCAGTATCCTGCTCCGCCAACACTGTACCAACATGGTACTGTACGACCGAACGCAAAATTGAGATCGGTTTTAGACTGAGGAAGCACACTATATGCCGACCAAGACGGCTTCCGACGCTACGTTTGCTGTTGTGCAGTAGCTCGAAGGCTTTTGAAGTCGAAGGCACGAGCCAATCAGTGCGCCAACGACAAGGTCTCGGATCTCGGGACAACATGTCTCGATTCACTGGACTGAGAATGTCGGTAAGCGCGACGTCGAAGGACCAACGTTACGCTGCGTCCTACGGACATCCGGGCGTCCGTAAGCGCATGTGATGCGGTTCCTCGCCGTGTACCATCATCCCGATCGTTTTTCCAGCCAATCGTATGCGCGAATCAAGTCACCCTACCCCTCCCATCTGCGATCGCACTACAGACACTGCGGCGTGAACGTCATCGCGTCGAGAGCGTGTCGACCAACCTCATTTTCCAATTTACTTGGTAAAGCATGAGCAGCAACAACCAAGTCTACGTCGATATGGCCCACGTCAGCGGTGAAAAGCTGCTGCTCGACGTGCCGAAAATGAACCTCGAGTGGCGCCACATCAGGAAGACGGTGCTGGTCAAGCCACCGGGCGCCAAGAGCAGCGTCGACAAGGTCGTCCTTAATGACGTGAGTGGCTCGGCGATGGCTGGCGAGTTTGTCGTGCTCATGGGTCCGTCCGGCGCCGGCAAGTCGTCGCTCCTCGACGTCATCTCGGGTCGCCAGCCGTCGACGTCCGGGTCCGTGCTCGTCAACGGCGCGCGCTGGTCCAAGGCGACGGCCAAGCAGGCATCGTACGTCATGCAAGATGATATCTTTTACGAGACGCTCACGGTCGAAGAGCACCTTTTATTCCAAGCCGAGCTCCGCATGGGCAAGCACTTTGACGCGGCGCAGCGGCAGGCGCGCGTCGAGTTTGTGCTGCGCGAACTTGGTCTCGTGAAATGCCGCAACGCGCAAATCGGCGGCGACAAGATCCGCGGCATCTCGGGCGGCGAGCGCAAGCGCCTGAGCTTCGCGACCGAAATTCTGACCAACCCGTCGCTGCTGTTTGCGGACGAGCCGACCTCGGGTCTCGATTCCGTCATGGCCGAGTCGGTCGTTTTGCAGCTCCAAAAGCTCGCGCGCGAAGGGCGCACGGTCATTGCTACCATCCACCAGCCGTCGTCCGAGCTCTACCCGCTCTTTGACAAGCTCTACTTGCTCTCGGACGGCGAGACCGTCTACAACGGCAAGGCGTCCGACGCCGTCTCGTATTTCGCCTCGCACGGCTACCCATGCCCGAGCTACATGAACCCGACCGACTATTTCATGAAGCAGATCGTCGCGCTCGAGCCCGAGGCGAAAGCACGCGTCCAGTCGCTGGTCAAGGCGTGGAAACTCCAATCGGCTGGCACAAAATCCGATCTCGATGGCATGCTCGAGGCGACGGACGACGGTGCAACGTACGAAGCAACGCACCTCGGGCTCGCCGGGCAGCTCCGCGTGCTCTGCAAGCGCAACGTAACGCGGCTCGTTCGCGACAAGATCGCGTTTGGTGCGCGCGTGGGGCAGACCATCTTTACGTCGGTCTTTGCGGGCCTTATCTTTTGGCAGCTCGAGCTCTCTCAGACCAGCGTCCAGTCGTTCACGGGCGCGCTCTTCTTCGTCTCGATCAACCAAATGTTTGGCGCCGCAACGCCAGAATTCATCGCAGTGCCCTCGGAGCTCCCGCTCATGAAGCGCGAGTACGACTCGGGCATGTACCACGCGTGGGTGTGGTATCTCGCCAAGAACGTCAGCGAGCTCGCCTTTCAGATCGTATTCCCGTTGCTCTTTTTGGTGCCTGTCTACTTTATGGTCGGCTTTGGTGCCTCGGATGCGACGCTCTTCTTCTCCATGTACGTGTTCATCGCGCTCATCACGAGCGTTGCGACAGCGCTCGGCTACATGGTGTCGTGCGTTGCCAAGAATGCGGACGTCGCCAACATTCTCGGCATTCTGCTCTTGCTGCCGTGCGTCATCTTTGGCGGCCTCTTCCTCAACTCGGACGACATTCCTGTGTACTTAAAATGGGCCGAGTTCCTCACGCCGCTCAAGTACGGCTTCCGCGGCATGAGCCGTGCCTTCTGGAACACGATTCACTCGATTCCGTGCGAAGCGGGCAAGATCTGCACCGCCTCGAACGGTGTCGATGTGCTCAAGAGCCTCTCGCTCAACGACCATACCATGCTCTACGACGTCATCTTCCTCCTCTGGATCAACGCGCTTTATCGTCTCATCGGTCTCGCGGCGCTCTACAACAAGGTCTACAAGCGCAACTAGAGAAACGAAAAATACATGCAATATATTTGACTAACGTAACCAAACGACATGCTGTCTGCATGGCTTTCTCTTGCTCCTTGCTTGAGACCTCCGCAGGCGACCCTACGGCGTCTCTGATTGGCTCAAATCCGGACGCTTCCGGACAAAAGTATTTGGCCAATAGCTTGAGCTATAGGGCTCGAACGCCGACGCAACAACGCATTTTGGACTCTCCTGAGTGTCTTTTGTCGACGTGGCAAGTATGAGCGATTTCATTTTTTGGCGTGATTTGGTCGCCGACTGCTGGCGGTCCGCATGCGTTCATCCAAAATGTGGCTATTTGTGACTATTTAAGGTTTACGCCAAAATTAGTGTGTCAAAAAAGCCGCACCACACCACAGCTCGCTCACACTCTACTTGTAGTTCGCCCAGTGCAATCCAGTCACGGCAATACACATCGGCCAGTAGCGCTACTTCTTCTCTTTTGACTCTGTTCGCTCACAACGGTCAAAGTGTCGTGTTTGTACTAAGAATTGGTGCAACGTGTGTAGAAAGAGTTGAGACGGATTTGGAGTGTAAATTTGTTGGAAGGGCATTCAAAAATTGGTCCCCCCAGAGGGAGGTCATAAATTGTGAAGTCGCATTGATCGAGACATGCCCACGGTAATCTTTAGTAAAAGGCGAAAGATTAGTACGGATGAGCTTGACCCTGCGAGATACTACTTACAATGAGCCGACACCAGGGTACCTGCGGTTAAATTAGAAACGTTTTCATTCCCCAGGTAGATTGATTGTACCTGACCCTAGTAGGAGATACAAGACCTTTTATACTTGATGCCATATCTTGCGAGCACTTCAACGCTACAACGGGTGCTTTGGTCACGCATTCGCCACGGTGGCTACTCGCGGCGGTCTCCCTACGTAAGAAATGTGGGCACTAAGGTAAGCTTAGAAGGACGTGGTATCCCCGCTTGCGATATAATTCGCACACACCGAGAGAGCCTGCAACTTTTAGAAAAAATACCGCTGGACAACACTGGGCAATTGGGACAAGACGCACAAACGTTGAGCGCACTGCAGACCCAGAACACAACCAACTTGTATTCTAGCAAGGTATCTCCTGGTATCCTCCTTGATTCAGCAGGGTCCGTTCGGCGTTTGAAACGACTTCAAGCAACACTAAACGGCGAAACCCCTCGTCGGACGCAAGCGCGAGGAGTACCGGCAAGGTCGGGCGACGATGGACTACTATGAGATCTTGGGCGTTGTCCGCGGTGCGTCGGACCAAGACATCAAGAAAGCGTAGGCTGTCTCCTTCTCCGAGAATACTCGGCGCTCAAATACGACGCATGCTAGGTACCGCAAGCTCGCCATGAAGTGGCACCCGGACAAGAACAAGGCCAACCGCGACGAAGCTCAAAACAAATTCCATGAAATCTCCGAAGCCTACGACGTCTTGAGCGACCCCGAGAAGCGCGCGGTCTTTGACCAACACGGCTACGATGGTCTTCGCAACGGCGTGCCCAACGCGGACGGCGATGCGCGCGACGGCTACAGCTTCAACGACCGGCAGGCGGAGGACATTTTCGCAAAATTCTTCGGCTCGAACAACCCGTTTAGCGACTTTGGCTTTGGCGATACGCTACCGTTCTCGAGCGCGCTCAAAAAAAAGGGGCCGGAGAAGAGTCCGTCGATTGTCCGCGACATCGAATGCACGTTGGACGAGCTCTTCCACGGTGGCGCGACCAAGAAGGTGTCGGTCTCGCGCGTCCGGTTTCACGGCCCTGACCTCAAGGAAGAAATCAAGGTCTTCTTCATCAAGGTGCAGCCAGGATGGGCGGCCGGCACCAAGGTGACGTTTGCAGGCGAAGGCACCGAAACAAAGGAGCTCAGTGCCGGTGACGTCGTCTTCTCCATCACCGAAGCACCCCATTCAACGTTTCGCCGCGTCAAGCACGATCTCATCTACGTCGCCAAGATCAAGTTGGCGGATGCGCTCGCCGACTGCTGCGTGCAAGTGCCGACACTCGACGGGCGCCAGCTCCCGATCAGTTGCAACGAGGTGATTGCGCCCAAGTCGGAGAAGCGCATCAAGGGCGAAGGCATGCCGATTCCTGACACGGAGAACGGCCGCGGCGACCTCGTCCTGCAGTTCGACATTCTCTTCCCAAAGTACCTTACGACGCTCCAAAAGACAGCGCTCATCAAGATTCTCGGCCAATAGTAAGCAGGGCTACACACGATTGGCCATTCTACTTCGCGCGCGAGGGCGTCCGAGCTAGAGCAAAGTAAACCTCAGATAACTCCCTGCAGTACTACCATTTCGCGTCCGTGTCGACAATGCTACGCGTAATACCGGTTGGCGTCGACAGATCATATTTATGTGCGGCTATGATGTGCAGTGCCGAGGTGCCAGCATTACTCTCGCTGGACGTTCCTTGCCATGCACCCGGGGTAGGGCTCCGACCGACACGAGTGCCCACAAACCTGATCGGGCCCGACATGTATACACTTGCCACATAACATTTACTAGCCGCAAACAGTGCCAATTGCCATTGGTTGATGATGCTGCGCGTCCAGCGCTGGGGGACGAAAGCAGCCTTGGATTCGCATGCCCAAGATTTACGGTATTTAGCTGTTCGGCGAAAGTCCCAGCTGGTGTGGACGACACATATTAGCAAACGCATCACCTCGTAAATATCAACGCTCGACTCGGTCGCGCGTCTGGTGGCAACGGCGTCGTGTCCGTCGACCACTCAAACTCAACAGAAAACACGCAACCTCAGGATTGAGAAACGCACGACGGGGCGTGGGACGCCGTGCTGTCTTGATGGTCGAGGGGGAGGTGCACGCAGCGTTCAGTGCCGGAGCGAAGGACACTGTGTCAAGCGCGCAAGAAGTGCAAAGCAACCCACGTGACGCCACACACTCATGCGTACCACGTATCGCACCTACGACGCGCTCGAGTTACAATTCAACGCGCACGAATTACGACGTCGACGTCCGATTCATCACGCCGCTCGCTCTAAGTGCCCACACGCCTCCACAGAGCTCACGGAACTCAATTGAGCACCACAGCTACGTCGTGGTCGCTTGGACACGCCTCAAAGCGGGTTGCGATACAAACGACGCCTTGATATCCAAAAAACGAGGCTACCTAATTGAGTTTCGTATGGAACTGAAACTCAAAACACTGCTTCTCATCTTCAGCTTCGAAAAACCGGAGACTCGGATTTTTCTGTTGTGGCGTGTGGGAGATAGGTCGCGTATGCCAGTGAGTGCTGAGCTCATTTTGCCTTTCGCCAGCCAGACATGCCATCGCAGCGCGCGACGACGACGAATAACCCGGCGCTCGAGATGCTCGAGGTCGACCAGCTTTTGCCCGCCGAGGACTGGGTCAACGACTACGAGCGGTCGCTCTGCCCCGTGTGCACGCGCAACTTTAACACGTTCCGGCGCAAGCACCACTGCCGCATGGTACGACGGTCTTTGCGCCCGTTCGACTGCTCATGGTTGTCTAGTGTGGCGAAGTCGTCTGCGGCAACTGCACCTTGCACAAGAACGTCTTTATCTCGTCCGTCGGCACCATGAACGTCCGCGTCTGCCTCTCGTGCATCGTGACGCTTGGCAACGGCCGCACGTCCGTGCCACCGCCCATCATGACGTCGCTGCCGTCGTCGTCCGACGAGTCGCAGCGCCGGTGGATGGTCAACCAGCTCCAGTCGCCAGTGACCAAGTCCCGCGACGGCGACGACAGCAGCGACGGCCAATACCACTACCAGCAGAACGCCACAATGATGGCGACTCCTGCCTTGGACTACGAGCTCGACTTCAACTGGGAGCACGCGTGGCCGCGGCCGCCGATGCCGCGCGACGAGAGCTCGCGCCTCGACGCGCTCGACTCGGTCAAGATCCTCGACACGCAGCCGCAGATTGTGTTTGACCGCATCTGCGCGATGGCGGCGGAGCGCCTGCAGTGCCCGATGGCCGCCGTGAGCTTCATCGACGGCAGTCGCCAGTGGTTCAAGGCCAGCGTCGGCCTCGCGCAAAAGTCGATTCCTCGCCACGTGGCGTTCTGCGCGCACGCCATTGTCTCCAAGGACCCGCTCGTGGCGCTGGACACGCTCCTCGACCCGCGCTTCCGGTCCAACCCGCTCGTGACGGGCGCGGCGTCCGTGCGCTTCTACGCGAGCGCGCCGATCTGCGAACACCGGACAGGGCAGGTCCTCGGCACGGTCTTCGTCCTCGACGTGCAGCCGCGCACGTCGTGCGACGCCACGATCCTCGAGAAGCTTGCCAACGTCGCAATGGAGAACCTCGTGGGCGCGCAGACGCCCGAGATGGCGCCGCCCGCGCGCCGGAGCTCGACGAGCTCGACCGACCCGACACGCAGCAGCGATGGAAGCCTCGACGGCCCCGCGCGCGTCTTTCCGAATGCCAAGGGCGGGCTCGACGGCAAAGCTGCGACGCCGCCACCAGCAGTCGCGGCCCAGAACGCACTCACAGTCGGGCTCAACATGGACTTGGCGCCGCCGGCTCCGGGCAGCACGAGCGAGAGCCGCCTCGAGAACCTGCTGATGAACCTTCTGAGCCAAACGACGCAGACGCAGCACCAGCTCGCGACGCAGCAGATCAACATGTCGCAGACGCTGCACGACCACGCGCACCGCATCGACCACCTCGCGGTCGGGTTGGCGCGCATGGAGGTGCGCATGGAAGTCCAGGAGGGCCACACCCGGAGCCTCCACCAGACCCTGCGGCTGCAGTAAGACGAGTCGACTAGGAAGCGATTAGTGTACATTTTAGAGCGGAGAGACGGCGAGGCCTCTCCTCGTGGAGTGTTGTTGTAAGTAAAAATCAAGTGCGATCTCCAATACGATTACGTGCGCGACCAACTACGTCAGGCTCGTGCAAGTAGGCGAGCTGTCTCTAGCTGGCATGGCAGGTCGCACCAGCCGTGTCGTTCCTGCGAAAGTTGTAGTGGACTGGTACGAGGCTGCGTCTCGTCTAGTCTGACTAGGACTAGAGGGGCATGATGATGACTGCTCGTAGCAAATACACGGCAGCGTTTGTACTAACTGCAAAAGGAATTATATCTAAAAGTGGCACAAGAGAAGCAGCATGCGGTCCAACTGGAGCACGAGGCGGTCGAACCGATCGAGGGACCGGCAGACGCGGTCGAACCGGTCGAGGTCGTGCTGCTCGACGAGCTGGTCCGAGCGCGCGATCAGATCCTTGTGCTCGTCGGCCTCGCTCTGGCGGCGCGTCCGCAAATGCACGAGCGAAATTTCGATGCGCTCGACGAGGCGCCGAATGAGCGCCTTGTGGTCCACCGACCAGCAGTAGAGCGTGTACTGCGGGTTGTAGTCGGCGCGCTTGGGGATTTCCTGCATCTGAATCAGCTTGGCTTGAAAGAGCCCAAAGAGTCGACTGCGCGTCTCGCTCGCCGGCAAAAGCGCGAGCTCCCCGATCGTCTTCTCCTCGGCCTGGCGCTGCTCGTACACGACGCGGAGAATGCGCGCACTCGCCGTGCCGTACGTGTCCTGCACGAACGCGTGGACTGTCTTGCGCTCGAGCGTCGACACGACGTTCTGCATGTGCACGGCGTACGTGCCGCCGTCGCCCGTCTTGTTGGCGGCAAACGCCTCGGGGGCCGTCTTGGTGAGCATGCCCGACGGGTGTTGGCACATGGCCGTGAGGTAATTGAGGAGCAGCTTCCAGCGGTCGCGCGACGTATGCGGAATCACCGCGTCGACAGACGGGAGTTTGAAAAGGTCGCGCGCGGTCATCGGGAACGACGTCGGCTCGGCCTCGCCGCGCTCGTGCGGCGACGACGCGTGCAGCATGGCTTGCACGATGACTTCGGCCACGTCGTTGACGCTTTCTTTCGCAAACTTGATGCACGCGCGGTGGCGCAGCTCGCGCGTCAGCTGCGCGACGCCGGCACGCCAAATGGCGTTTTCTTCCTTCAGGCTCACGTCGTCGCCCTGGCCGTTGTCGAGAAGCGATGTCGGTGTCGATGGCAGCTTGGCCTCCTTCCGACGACGGCGACCGCCAGACGAGACTGGCGCGCTGGTCGCGGCCGGCGGTGTCGACGCCTCGGCCTCCTCTGCCTGCATCATGAGCTGGACTTCGATTGGAACGACGTCCTTTGGCGGCGCTTTGGCCTTGCGCTTTGTGCCACGCCGCACCGAGAACCCATCGTCGAGCTCGACAGTGTCAGCCGACGGCTTCTTCGCCTTGGACTTGGGCGCGGCCTTGGAGGACGAGGACGGCGACGACGCCGCCGCCGCGAGCTTCTCGAACGCCACCTCGGCTTCGTCTGCAAACGGATCGTCCGCGTGCTTGTTGTTGAGGTCAAGCGGGTGCACGCGCACGATGTAGCGGTTCTTGGCCATCTCAAGAAAGGTCGACCGAAGCGTTGCCTTGAGGGCGTCGAGCTCGTCCGCGTCCACTGCATACAGCGTATGAGGCAAAACAGAACACGATTCAGCGTAGTAGTACCATCGTCTTCCGAGTTGCCATCGGCGGCGCGGCGCGCCTGTGCGAGGTTGAACGCCATGGCCTCGATCGACTGGTCGAGGCGGAGGCGGCCACAGACCAAGAGCTCCTCCATAATGATCGCACCCTAGGCAATACCTCCATGAGCGAACGTGCTCATTCGTACGATTGGGGCGCGCTACCTCTTCGCCAAAGACCGAGCTGGCGAGCTCAATGTAGCGTGCAAAGCGGAGACGCCGGAGCACTTCGTCGTGGTTGAGCGTATACCGAAGCGTGTAGGGCTGCTTGGTCTGCGCCGTCTTCTTGTGCGCATTGCCGTTGGCCCAATGGGACTTGATGTCGAGCATGTTGTGCTGCAGCATCTTCAGGAGGCCGGCCTTGAGCTGCGACGGCGTGGCCTTGGTCGTGTGCAGGAGGATCTCGCGCAGCGTGAAGCCGTCGTCATCGGCCTTCAGGAGGACCCGCGCGAGGTGCTCGACGTGCTCGCCAAAGTGCTCGAGGAGCACATGCAGGAGGAGCCGGCGCTTCGACTGCGACACCACCACCATCTCGGACGACCGCTAATTCCGGCGCCGCTTGCAAGCGTTATTGGATATTATTGACCAATGGTTTCCAGGGATCGCCGGCGGGCCAATCAGAAGTGCCGAGGCTGGCCGCACGCAACTCGCTTGCCACTTCAAGCACAGCAGAGCACGCGCTCCTTGACGAGCAATAATACTACGGTATCAATACTAGTACGTACGTGTAGTCGTATACTAGCATCCAAGAGTATCACCGCATGCCCTCGTTCAAAGGTCGCTCGTGCATGCTCGACGTCGCGGACGATTCTGTAAAGTGCAACTTGGTCCATGTCGCTACATGTATTAGATCTAGTCGGAGTACATAGCTACTAAATTGAGTTGTCGTCGCATGCAAGGGTTGTTTAGGGGCTTGTTGTCGTGGGTCCATCAAGAGCATCAAGAGGGCTCCCCGCCTGTCAATGGATCGACGTCCGCCATGTGCGATGGGACAGATTGGTCATTTTTATTCCGCGAGCCGCTTGGGTGGCATGTCATTTTTTTCGCGATCAAATGTTGTTCTTACAACAACCGAGATATTGGTTGGTTCTTGGAATAAAAATGCAGTGGCCGGTGCGAATAAATTACCGCCGACTGCTCGTGGGTGTCACTCAAACAGCAAAACCCGACAGCCACCGAAGACGACGACGACCATGAAGGTAGGACGTGGCGACGGCCGAGCTCACGCGGCGACTCGTAGAAGTGCATCGTGCTCGTCTCCAACCAGAGCTTCTCGGCCGAAAACAAGAGCAACACCTCGTCGCTCAACGCTCTTCTCGACGCCAAGAAGATCAAGCGCGTCGAGGTCGACGGGTCGGCCGAGGACATGGTCGACCGGCGGAACACGCTCTTTGGCATCAGCGGAGTCCGGGGCTCGTACCCGCAGGTCTTCCTTGTGGACGAAGGCGAGACCACGCCCCGCTTCATTGGCCTCTTTGATGCGATCCAGGTACGGGCGGAGTGCTCGAGAGATAGAGGTCGGGACCACTGGCGTAGCACATGAACGAAATGAACGACCTGCCCACGGACATCATTGAGCAAAACAACATCCTGACCTTCGACGCTGTCTTTGCGGGTACGTCGCCGCGTCTCGATCCTCCGTGAGTCTTACCGATGCCATAGACGTGGAACGAATGGGCTAAGTGCCATTAGCCTGACCGACGACAAGGCGGCCGCGACGCTACTAGACTCCGACGTCGTGCCCGCGCCATCGACGATATTACACTATTTGCTTTCAGAACACGCAAACCGTTCTCTCTCTCAATCCTCAAAGTGTGCATCGAGGGCCGAGAAGTAGCGCGTCTGCGTAAACGAGGCCGACGAGACGCAGCCGCCTGCAGTAGTCGTCAAAAGAGAGATGGTACAAATGGCGACGCACCGTGGGGCTGGCCTGGAAAGCAGTTGCAATTGCCGCCGAGAAACGACGGGAGCGACGCCGCAGGAATGTCGGCGAGGAGCTCGTCCTTACGACCAACAAAGACGATCTTGTGGCGAATCCGGTCGCTCAGGAACACCTCGATGAGCTTGTACGTGCCGTAAAAAAAGAAGGGTGCGTTCACAATGTAGACCTTGTGCAGCGTCTCGGGGTAGTGCTCTAAACTATTGCGTCAATACCGCCGCTCAAAGATCACTGGTACTGTACCTTGGTTGATGCTCGTGATGCGCTGGATTGCAGTAAAGATGTCCGTCTTGAAGGTACTAAAGCCCACGTTGGCGAGGTCGTAAATGAGTACGATCTTGGACGCGGCGGCGCCGCGCGCGACCACCTGCACAGTGCACTCTCAGCCCACGACGAGAAGGCATAGAAAGGACCTGGCGCGGCAAGAGCACGTGGAGCTTGTACTCACACTTTTGCACGTGCGCCTTGAGAATGTCGTCGGGCGTCACGACCTTGAGGAGCGCATCGCAGTCCAAGTAGCCCGTGCGCTCAATGTAGACAAGTCGTCCATCCTTGTCCTCTCCGTGGAATCCTTGCGGCTATCGATCGGGTGAGTGCAGCCACTGAGAACACTATCGTACGTTGAAGCGACGAATGGCCTCGAGCTTCTCGTTGGGCAAAGCCGGGCCCGCCATGAGCGACGGCACATCCTGCTCGACGCGCCACGCGATACTGCTGCGCATCGCACTCAAGGTCGCGTCTGCGTCCCAATCGCGCGCGATCGCGTACTTTTCGATCGTGTCGTCGAGCTGATCAAGCTCGCAAAAACCAAGGGCCACAAGGCGCACTTCCGGCGTCTCCTGCAGAAGCTGCTCGCGGAGCCGCGCAATCGTTGGTGTCTTTTCGTGCATCCGTGGCCAGATGATGCAAGCTCCAACGAGCACAAGAGGATCCATGCGTCCGGATACTTGCAGGTTGATCGCAGGTACACGTTGCGTTGGTTTCGCTCAGTCTATAAATTAAGACAGTTTGCAGCTAGAAACACCGCGCGTAAAGACTCGACATTGTGTGCATGGACTCACGCCGGCGGTGGCCCACGATATGCTCGAATTAAAATGGTGTCTTTTTCACGCTAGGTCCAGTTTACGCAACAAGCGGCTCGACATTTCCAGGCGAACCGATCGATGCAGCCCTGGAAGGTCGATTTGTGGCGTGATTTTAGACAAGTGCCTCTTTGGAACACTGTTGTTGAAAATTCCAACGCAGATTCGAGACAAGCCAATCGAAACAGGGGACACGACGAGCGGGCGGCAATGTCCGAGTACAAGAAGACCGTGGGCGGAAAGCTAAAGCTCAAGGGCGGGCTCGCGCTAACAGCCAAGTACGCACACATGAAGATGACCATGGGGATGCTTATATCTGCATGTGCTAGGAAGACCAAGAAGACGAAGAAGCGGAAGGCCGAGACCGCGCAGAGCAACGACGAGGACGGCGCGGACGGTGACCGCGATGACTTCCAGCTCGTGAAGCTCCAAGGCACCGGGCGTATCCTGACGTCTGGCACCACCGTCATGGGCAAGATGGGTACGCGCTTCGCGAGCGAGCTCTCGGTCGGCGATGCAATGATGATCATGCACCCGACGAGTCTCCAAGAAGAGACGCGCATCGTCAAGATGGTGCTCAGCGACGTCTCTGTCTCGATCAGTTCCGCATTCAGCTCGGACCTCGTGTCCACTACGACGTTCCACTACATCAAGGCGCCTCCGGACGAAGACGAGAAGGAGAAAAAAGAGGTACCCGTCCTTACTCTCTCTACTCTCTCATGCGCAACTGGATACTAGCGGGCCAAAAAGAAATCCAAGTCGGACGAAGAAGGCTTTGCTTTTGGGACATATGCGGGTGGCACCACGGCGGGCAGCCAGTATACGTACCGCGTCAAGAAGAGCGGCGTGTACGGCGGGTACGCCGTCATGAAGGAGGTACTTGAATCGGAATATATGCATTTCAAGCACGGATTAACATGAGCTGTGCTAGACGGCCGACGCCAACCGATCACGAGAAGAGCTCTTGGACTTGCGCGCCAAGATGAAGGGCGATCGGCACTGCAATTAGACCTTGCGCTTGAGTAAACCCTTGAAAAAATCAAACGAATTGCCATCCGGGTAGAGCTCGTAGCGCTGGCCACTTTCGCTTGACGCAAGGAGGCATCCCGACGGCGACAGCCCTAGACGAGCGATGGCTCCAACGTCAACATGTGCTCATGTCTAGTACCTTGAATTGTGGCCGCCATCTCCGGCTCGCCAGCGCGATCGCCTTGGACCTTGACGAGCTGATTCGTGTGGAGCCAATGATCGGTGTACTCCTTTTCAAACGACGCAAAGCCCGTGCGACGGAACTCCGCTTCCATTGGCTCGTAAATGTTGCAGTACGCCGCCATGAACGCTTCCCTTCAAACACAATCAGTTGATACATATAGATAGCCTCTTCCATCGTACCGCGTCACGGCCGTGCCCACGAGCTTGTTCAAGCACGTCGTCGGCTCGGGATTGCTAATGTTGAAGCCAATGCCTACGCAATATCATTAAACGCTACACAGGGTCCATTTCGCACCTGTCGTGAGGCAGAAGCGGCCTTGAAAGTACTCGGACTGGCACAAGACGCCGGCGATCTTCATGCCATCGACGTAAATGTCGTTGGGCCACTTGATTGCGACCCGCGACGCGCCGAAATGCAGCGCCGTGCGCACGACGGCGAGCGACACGAGGTACTGCACAAACGGAAGGCTTTGGCCATCCGTGAAGAAGCTCTGGTACGAAAACGTGAGGCAGCCCTCGGGCGCGACCCACGTGTTGGCGCCGCGGCCACGACCCGTCGACTGGAGCGGCGTCCAGCACACGAGGCGGAAATCCTCGGGCGCTAGCGGGCGCAGCTCCAGCGTCGACGCTTGCAGAAGCGTTTGCGTCGAGGGCAGCGTCTCGGCGTAGAGCACGTGGCGCCCAAGCTCGTGCGTCGTGAGCGTTGGGAAGAAGGTCGTATCGAGACCGCCCGCGACCGCGCTCTCGATGCCCTTCGCAGTGGCCCACGTCGAGATCGCCGGCGGTGCTGCCTTGCTGCTTACGAGGAAGAGCTTCTGAGCTCCCTTGGCCGCGTCAAAGATGGACGTCATGACGGTTCGGACTGCGAAACGACAAGCGACAGAAGAGGGTATCCGTCGGACCATCCCAGACTTCGCAAGTCGATTGGTCATTTCCCGGAGGCATTCCCGGTCAAGACGATTTAGTAGGCCCCCCTATCAATGGTGCGTTCAAAATGGCTGCTCGACGCAATCATGCTGGGTAGAAAGCTCGACGCCCATCCAAGGCCACAGATGCACATTCGCAATTTGAGATGGACCTGCCATGATCAATAGTTATCACCGGCTTCCTGGTTTCGTGGCCGCTAAACTGCGTGAATTATCGCTGTGCAGCCTTGCGTGCTGTCCGCTAGCTCTGCCCATCAAGAGCACACCAATGGTATTTCACTGTGTTATTGCAGGGACAAAAACTCACGTGACCGACGAGCATCGTCGACACACAAATCTTCGGGTGAAAAGAGCGTTTGGCACGATACGCGGCGCTCGCGGGCGCCGTCGAAGGTCGAGATGCACTTGGCACAAGCGCGGATACGCTGGCACCCATTGTTGAGAACGTTGACGTGGACCTTGAGATGGCACTGACGGCACACGGCGCCCCCGCACTAGAACGTCCTCGACAATGAGCTTTGACACCGTTAGGTATGCGTCCTTCGTACCAAGCTACAGGCATAGCGCCATCGTTGGAGGAGACGGAACTTGAGTTGGCACTGCGAGCACGAGTGTGACCCTCTCGCTGTGGAGGAAGCGGCGAGCTTCTCGACGAGGAAGACACTGTCGTCCATCACATGCTTCTCAAGGCTTGACATGGGGGATGAATATGGAAGGGAGCTACCGTGGGCGAAAGGTCTAATTGCCAAATGAGTAGACTGCGTAGGTTGCTTCTGAAGATCCTGCTGTCGGCGAGCGTGCTCGCATGTCGCGCCACGACAAACCACGTTTTTTTAGCCGTGACAAACCACGTTTTTCAATGTTTAACCAATCGTTCAATACACAGGGTGTCAAACGTATACAAACGGTAAGACATGCATGACACAGCAACGAACAAAAACGTTTTTAACGTGTCGCGTGTCCATATTCATTCCCACGCCACCAAACTCAATGGCGGACCAAGCACGAGGTAGACGGCGTCGCATGGAGGTTGCATGGACCCTACCTCGACGACTCTAGAGCCGCTGCCGAAGAAGGCCAAGTTTGATGCGAAGCCGTCGGTCCTCCATCCGGACCTGTTGCAGTCGTCTGCGGCAGCGCGTGCGTCGGTCCAGGCGGCCTACGCGACGACAAAGCCGTACCCGCACTACCAGATCCCAGCGCTGTGCACGCGCGAGCACATGAACAAGGTATCATATGCGTGCAGGATGCGTAGCCTCACGCGGTGCAGGTGCACCACGAATGCATTACGCACCTCGAGGGCAACTTCAAGGAGACGGACCTCTTCAAGCTCTACCAGACGATCGACCTCGGGAACCTAAAGACGTCGGACAAGATCGCAAAGGATCTGCCAGCTCTCCTTGAGCTGCGTGATGCCCTCGTACTGCGATTTTGCATCCTCCTGAAATTGCTCATGTGACGACTGTGTAGTATGGCAAGGAATTTCGCGACTACATTACGGCGATCACGGGTTGCCCGCCCTTGACAGACAAGGTGGACTGCGCCGCGAACGTGTACATGCAAGGCTGCCATCTCTTGCCTCACGACGACGTCATTGGCACACGCTGCGTGAGCTACGTCATCTATCTCAGCGACCCGGACGACGACTGGACGGTTGTGGACGGCGGCAGCCTCGAGCTGTACCCGTCGATGGCATCGAACGACCGCGTGCCCGACTTGGTTCCGACGGCATTTGCTCTCCCCACGTATAACACGATGGCGCTTTTCACGGTCATCCCGGGCGTGAGCTTTCACTCGGTCCAGGTAGCTCCCTCCATCTGAGCATTATTCGCGTCGTCTGCTCACACGTGCGTAGGAAGTCTATGCGGAGAAGCCCCGTCTATCTATTCAAGGCTGGTTCCATCAGGTGCTCTCCATGGCTGTATCGAGTCAAAAGGCTCATCATCGCATACAGGCTGTCGCGCCCGCCGGCGTCGATGCCGCCACGCAAGAGCAACTCTCAGTTTTGCGTGAGCACGTGTCTCCATTCGGCGAGCTCCCCATGGACAGCATCGTGCAGAATCCGCAACTAACGAGCGGCGACCTGGCGTTTCTCCGTGCCTTTGTGAACCCGATCTACCTCGCTATGCGCACGATTGGCGACATCCAATCATCGTTTCGCTCCAGCGGGAGTCTCCAGGTACGCTCAATTGTTGTCGACCGTTCATTGACTTACTGGTCCGTCCTTAGCTGCACGACTTTTTGAAGTCCGACTTGGCCGATGCGATTGCGACGGCCACACGAAGCGCCGACGATGCGGTGCAACTGGGATCTGGGCAGGTTCCGCAGTATACGGCCGGCTACGATGAAGCATGGGATCCTCGTGGCCCGGTGCATCTCCAGCGGTACCTCGCGTATGTTGGCGAGGGTGCCAAGAGCAGCAGCGCAAGCGCGGGCCAGCTCCTCGGTCATATCAAGGACGAGCTTGTGGCGTCGCAGCCGTTCCAGAAGTTTATTTGGCTTCTCACGGGGTTTCTGCCCACTGGTGTGCGCAGTCAAGTGCGCCGGTTCCGCGCCGGCTTGGACTATACGCTCGCACACGAGCAAACACTCCCGGCAGAGACCCTACTGGATCTCGTGCTGTGCTTCGCCGACTGCCGTGGTGCCGACGCCAAGGAGGCGTGGGGCAGTGGCGACGTGGGCGGCTTCGAGTGCTACCAATCGGCTGAAGAGGATGGTCTCGGTGACGTTGCCAAGGGGCTCCAAGATGACGATGACGATGACGATGCGCTGGTCACAGTACACGCCCAACACAACGCGCTCAACCTCGTGATGCACGACGAGAACACGATGAAGTTTGTCAAGTTTGTGAGCGTCCGGGCGCCAGGAAGCCGCTGGGACGTCAGCGTTGAGTACACCATTGCCCAAGTTGAGCTCGACGAAACCGAGGTGGCCGAAGACTAGACGCCCGGCTTAATAACAGTGTGCCCTGAAATGCTTGAAGATGTGAATGCTACAGTTGACGTCAATTCAAGTTCGATTTCGGTCAAAACCGACTGTTGGCCATTGAGCAGAGTCCCGCGGCTGTCGGCTCCTTTCTCAAGCACACAGACACCTCCTTCATGCACCACGTGTCCATCTAAAGAAAATCGTGATCAAATACTGGTCTTTCTAGCTCATTTTTTAAAATCTCGGCCTTCCAATGTCCCCAGAAGCGCCCCAAAAGATCCAGAGCGATGAGCCAAATATTGAATTGTGATCGGAATTTGACGGACAGGCCACCCGTTAAAATTCCCTGGTATCTGATTGGCCAAAAAGTCTCCGTGACGTGGCAATATGGTTGCGGAGTATTGAGGCAGCTCGCTATCGTAGAGTCGCCTACGCTCGAGTGGTGTTCCAAGTATACCGTCTCCGTCGACTTGGATCGGCACATAAGCCCCACTACATGGTCAAGAAGAGGCGCGCGAAGCGGGAGCGCGCGGCTGTCTCGGCCGAGGCTCTCGTACTCGTCAAAGGTAAACGGGGACCTTGCTCGAGGATTGGACTTGCGTGGCAAGCAAGCGCCGAATGCCGACGCACGCTACATCATGCTTTTCATTAGGAGCTCGAAAGTGTGTGTATCTGTGTACTAGTACACCTCCTTGATGCCATCACCGTAGCCGAGATGACAGGGCAATTTACGATCCCAGTTGAAACTCGCGAGCGCACTGCGTTGACGCGGTAACCACTGAGCGTCGACGCTATACCATCCTAATAAACGCAAGGAAACATTCTTAATTGAAGACGCGCGCTTCGTGTCCATCCGTCCGTGGCTTCCTTCAACGAGGACGGCTCATTATCACAGCGCACCCAGTGTTGACCTCGCGCAGTACTAGTGCTTCTTGATCTCGTT